TTTTTTTTTTTTTGTCTTAGAAACTCTAACAGAATTGCAAGGCTTTATTGTCTTTATTTTGCTGTTATTTTGCAGAATGGTTAAAAATTTTTCATGTGAAGAATTTAAATGTTGGATATTTGCTTTAAATTCGTTGATAACTACAAATTCATAGAAAACATAAACTATGCAGAAATAAACTTGTGCAGCGGTTTACTGCAGAATAGTCTATTTGCAGATGAAGACCTCTAGGTGACTGATAACAGTCATTTGAACCTCACTAACTTCTGCCATCCACTTACTGAACCGTTTTTGAAAAAAGTTTCTTCAGTGGGCCTAAACAAAATAAAGTTTTAAATAAAAGCTATAAGAAGTCCTCGTTGCTCAATACGATGATAAACTTCAATTTCTTGAAATTGATCACAATTCATTGTACAACAAAACTGCAAAAGTATATTTGGTTGCTTTATATTTTAATGACTAATTTATTTATTACTTTTTTTTCCTTTAACCATTATAGTATTCTTAATCTATTGCAATAAATTTTGAAGCTACAAATAGTAACTAGCGTATCAAGGTTTCAAAAGCAACAGTGGAAGGCAGACATTTGAATTGTTCAAAATCAATTTCAAGAATTAAAAGCAGCGTTTAACAAATGTTTTTGTTACTTAAAAATTTGATTTGTAAAAAATTAATCGAGTGGTAATTTGATTGCTAAAATACTGTCGTTTATGAATATTATTTGTAGCTGTTTAGTGCAGCAGTATTACTTACGTAGAATATTTCAAAAATAACAATTTTACAGCAATTTTAAATAAAAATGTTGTAGAAAAGTAAGTTTTTTAAAAATTGAAACAGAAAATTCTCTGCTAAGGATATAGCTTATCAGTAAGTCAAGTGCTCCTGCCAAAATTTTTTTGTCTTAGGAACTAAACCGTAATGTTGGTGGCAAATCTAGAAAATTCTCTCAACAGTGCTTGACCTATAGAATTTAATTAACATCAAAACTGTGGTTCAGAAATTGTCATTTATCTGCAGATACAAATTCCTGCAGTACTGTTTATTACTTTTCTTTTTAACACGAATGCAGACAAGTGGAGAGTTGAATATAAACCTTAAGATTTCTGTGCAAAAATTCAGTATTTTACTTTTGTTCAATAACAAAAGCTTGAAGTACTTAACCAAACTTAGCATTTAGTCTTAACTGTTTCACACTTTTCTTTTAACCAAAACTTTAATGTGATTCTGGAGTCATCAATATCCACAAAAAGTGACAAAATATAATTTTCCAAACAATTATTTTTCTGTTTCAATAATTTATTTTCAAATAATTTGAACAATTCTCTCCGTGCTTTCAATTTTTTAGCTTTATTTTCATCTTTTGTTTTATAATTCAGAATTATCTGCAGAAATTCACTGGATGAAATAAAAACTACAATGAATGTGTAAAATTTATTTGGTTTTTCAAAATATACAGACAACTGGCAGCAACACTTATGCATCACTAGAAGCAATTTTTTTTGCAATTGTCATCAAAGCTACTGAAGCCTCTTCTGCAGCTGGGATAATGTGTTTTGGAGGGAGATGGAAACCGTAATATCCAGTATTTCCTGAATCTTTACTTCCCGGTTTAAGCTCAAGCGTGTAAACATATTTGACACCCAAGCTTTTCACGTAATCATCACTACCTCCAGATGTTGCAACTGCAAATAACCATTTTCAGTTTTCAGCACTGCCATCTGATGAAACCAGCAGACTGTCAAACAACTTACAAAGGTCATCTGAACTACTGCCAACTTTATACTGCGTACCGCAGGCATCCTGAACTGCTTGAGCAGCCTCCAATGCCAACGCCTTCTACAATTCAAATTAACTTGTAGACAATGACTTCAGATTACTGTAGCTTGTCAAGTTGAACGTTTCAAAATATTAAGAACTGCTTTGAATAGATAACCGCCAAAACTTTTTTCAGAGAAGAATAAAGAAAGAAAAATTGTAGCAATTACAAGGTCATTGGTATCATCAGATTTTGAGTCAGTCTTTTGTCGATTTGGGTATATAATGTTTTCGCCATACGAGTGAAGAGTTACATAAGCTTTTATAGATTTCTTATTTGCTTCAAAAAATTTAGCCATATTCGAACTCTCAATCTCTGATAATGGTTCTTGTCCACGGAATACAACACTGAAAAAGCAATAAGCTAGTACTCAACATCAGAACTTCTTTGGACGTAATTTACCCAAGCATTATTTCAAACTTCCAAGAGTAAACTGGATGCATTTCTATCTAGAGGAAATTTCTGCCAAAAATCGTTTAGATTTTGTTACCTGCATGAGTTATCACTGGAGGCAGTATAACCCCATTTGAACGGGAAATTTCTGTTCAAATCAACGCCATAACATCCCTTTAAGGGTCCTGATCTCGTTTTTCTCCACATCCTGTCATGTTTCCTGGTATATTCATAACCATCTGGGTTGACATTCGGGATAATGATTATATCAATTTCGCGTAACAAATCGCCATATTTTGGATCGATAACCAGCTGTAAAAAATTCTTAGCAATGATTCGTTGTCAAAATTACCAGTTTTTTCTTCCGAGTGAAATTCTTTTGTCTCCGAAATGAGATATCAGAGAACTCGGGCAACTGACAATTGTTTTCCAATTGAATACCAACGCTTCGCAAAAAATCCATTGAATTGATAGAGGAAGAACAGAATTTAGAAACTGTGACATTGTTACTCTAAGATTCAGCAGAAGAATTAAAGAGGTGTTGCGCAAAGAGAAAGTAGTGTAGTGTTGCCTGTTCAATAAGGTAGAGAGCTGTTGCTGGGGATATCCATTCTCGAGCATGAATCCCACCATCGATAACCATAGTTTTCTTCTCGAATCCGTTTGGATAACCAATCTGTCAATTGTTGTAAAGTATATTTGAATTTTACTTTATTTTCTACATATCTGTCCAAAGTTTCCACTCTTTCTTTGTCTTCATCTCCCCTTCTACAAATAGCACTGCAAAAATTGTTTTTACCTTAACATATCGGATTTCTCGACTTTCGTAACTTTTACCTATAGAGCCCAAGTCAACATATTCAGGATATTCATCGGCCATAAGTCGCAAAAAAGCCATTTGCTAAACAGTAAGAGTCAAAAAAACAATCTGTTTATATTTATTTGCTGAAAACGGTTATTTTTTTAATAAAAACAACTCGGACTAAAAATAACAGGTGGTAGATAAGCGTTGGTTAAGTATCAAAAGTGATGAAATAAAAAACTGACTTCTTCATACGAGTGATATTTAGAGAGTTCAAAAGTGTCAATATTTTTACGATCCCACGCCAGAGTATTTTTTACATCCAAATATGAACGTTGCACAGATCTGAATTGCGGTCATCTAGCGATTGCAGTGAACAAATATAAAAGTATAAAACTTTTGAACAAAATTGATACGTAAAATAAAAAAAGTTGAAAACTAACTTGGAAAGATCACTAATCAAAATTTTGTAGTCAATTTTTTTTGATGTCATATACTTAGCTACAGCCGGAAAATTTGTTGGTGCAACAGCGAAAACATAATTTTTGGTTAACGATCCAACCTCTGTCCAGTAATCAACCTATAAACTCAGACTTTACAACATTTAGTTAACTGCACGAAAAACACTGTTGTATTACTGCATTATTTCCATGATACTTTTTGGTTCACTTAAAGTGTTTTTTGAAGATCTTGATTTCTGATTCGACAGAAAATTCCTGCAAACAATCAAACATGTATACTTCAAATCCGACTGCGCTTTCCATTTCTCGTAATGCTGCCAGTTGAGCTTCACCATTTGGCACCACTCTGAGCAGTTTATGACTGAAAATTTACCCTTCAGTTCTGTTAATAAAATCGAATCCTAATCTTCTCCTTTTACTTCTTCTTGTCGCATTCTTTTAAACCTTTTCTGAATCTCTATACACCCGACAGATTCAGAAAAACAAATAGTTAAAGTGTATTTTTATTTCACATTGTAAACAAAAGAAAATAATATGACATTATCTTCCCTTAAATATCAAAATTATTCATCTATAAATGCCAAGCTTAATGACAGGACTGATGATGCCTCTAAAAGACTAACCCACTGTACGACTGATACGAACATCCAAATTCGAAAAAACTAAACAGAAGCAATAGACTGGTGTACATCACCATAGATCGTCAGCAACTGTAACTTTTCTGATCTTCTACCATTATCTGCTGTCCTTTATATAGAAGTAAACATTCTTCCAAAAAAGTCTTTTCCGTTGCTTAAAAACAAAAGAAAAAAACGCAGTATTTTGATGACTCCACCTACGGTACTGTATACCATAAATAACCAGATGCATTTTCATAATACGTAAAAGCTGTTTTTGCACAAACGTTACAAAAAACTTCATAAGCATCAACAACGGGCAGCAGTTATATCGGGACATCACCATAATGTTTGCTTAACAGCGATAGAAACAATAGCAGTGCTGATGCTTTGATGCAGAAATTTGATGCTAATAAAAACGAATAAATAAAAACGATATATCATGCGAAAAAAATGCCCGTTCCTTCACAGTTATTTGTATCAAGTGTTTATTTGATAACTTTTTTCTACCGTTGACCGTTTTCACTGCCAAACTTCCCAAATGCTAATTTTCAAAACGACGCACAGTTCGTATGAACTATTTTTGAGAAATCTTAATGCAACCGTGAAGTGTCAAAAACACCAGTTCTTCTTCCGTCAAACAGTGATACGTCCACTACTTCTTGAGACTTTTTTTCAGTTGCATGTACTCAAAATAGTAATTTTCTTCTGAAGCTAACATTCTAACAAATTCTGTTGTTCATCTAACCCAAAAATTGTTTAAACTGCTACATTCAAGACTTTTGGCACATAGATGATCAAACTTCTGTTCAGAACTCCATTTTAGTTTTCCGTTTTTCACAATTCATTGCCGGTATATCAAACTTTTTGCTCCTGACTCATCAAAAAACAGTTCGCTCACATTATCACCGTTGATAATCTCGTAAATATTTTTTTGTAAATAGTAATATCATGCCAAAACGACGACCGACGTAAACACTGTATCCACTAACTTTTTTCTGTAGACAGTGAAAGCAAAATACAGTCAATTCAATCTGTCACCGCTTTATGCTAATCAGCTCCAAACTGCAAACAAATAATTATATTCATTTCAAGAACCATGACGTGTCAATAGCTTACTTTAAACTCCGCTGATCCTGACTAGCATTTATTGACTCAGTTCTGCTTCTACCCCAGTAACCTAGGTGTCGATGTGACAAACAAACATTTCCCAATATTTTTCTAACATCATAAAGCCAATAAAACCTTAAAATTACAAGCATTTTGAACAAGAAAGCATTGAGATCACTGTAACTAAAGCAGCAGATTCATAATGATTTGGGATAAATAAAGATAAAAGATTAAATATGACTCTGGATCGACTAGCTACTAAAATCCAAAATTTGGAGAAAAACGTGCCGTTAATACTACAAATCTTCAACTAGACAATCCATAGTACAAGTTCCAGCATAACAAACCCACTTAAACATTTCTCTCACTGTAAGGCTTGTACGCAGAGTAATCAGATATGAAAAACTGCACACAATGACAGCAATAATATACATACAGTAACAACGGCCCACCGCCAGCATTGTATCAGCGACGATAAAGACAT